GTTATAATGTCTTTCGACATTTTCTGTAGATGGTCAGGCAAGACTGCGGTTTCGATCCTAATCTTGTGGATCTCGTCAGTTGCCGATTCACTAAATAGACTGGTAGAGATTCGTTCTCGATATCAGTCGGGAATTTTGCTCCCTATCCAGGCGAACCTCTCGCAGATAGCCAAGATGCAGATGTGGCCGCCAATGAATTAGACGAGGATAGCATTTTGCCCGAAATCCTCTTTTTCGGCCTCCCAACATGCAAGCCACACTCCATGCTTTTACCTTTCTTTCACATAAGTACACAACCAGTGACGTCACAGGGTTGTTTTGGCCACGCCATAATGGCCGCCAATTTTGATCTCAGCCGGTCAACTTCGAATGGTTAAAAATGTACTTTCCGCTATGCGTTGGCCCAAAAAAAATACACAGCGTTTGCAAATAACGTTCGAACTCTATTATATTGCAAAAATCTCGGATATGAAAATTACGTTTCAGTAGCACTTTAAACTTTTAATTAAAAAAAGAATTGGACAACATCACACCAAGCTTTTCGTCGCGAAGGTAAAAATATTTCAATTAAAATCTTTACTCCTGACAACATAAGCGACGCTGTGTAGAAGCGTCTTGGAAATCCACTTCCATGCATAAAAGAGAAGACTTCAGGTCAATGAATAAGACAAGAAATGAAATCTCTTTGACTGATAGACATAAAGAAACCGATGACTCCACAAAGACGGAAAAGCAGTGTTTGATTGATAGGTGCAATTTTCTTTGTTTCATGAAAAGGTTTTTCCGTTGTTTTAAGTCATTGGGAGAGTTTATTAAAGCTACGAAAAGACCGTGTTGATTCTAGGATCACTTGGTTATGTTAGTCACTATTTTTAGCAAAGATAAACAAAGAGTCAGTTGTAAAAACGCGAAATTCGTGTGGTAACTAAAAACGAAACATCTGATTCCCAAACCGATGCTTTGCCACTAAGCCGTGGAGACTACTCTTTGTGAGGTACACAGAACTTTCCAGGTTCATATCTAACAAACGCCTTGCAAACTGAAAAAGTCAGCAATGTCGAAAGTGTCGTGTGAATGAATGAAGAAAAAGGATAATAAATTTACCATCTGTCTAATTCTACATAACAAATACGACAATGCCAGATCGATGAAGCAAACGAGCAAAGACGAAAAGTCTGCTCTAAAAAAAAAAAAAGGATCAAGTGGATACACAACATAGGAAAAGAGTGTGCAGTATTTCGTACGCTTCTAATT